GGACACCAGCTATACTAAAATACATTGATTTAAAGAGATTATCATAAATTTAAAAAAAAGAAAAAAAAAAGAAGAGAATACTTATTGAGGGCTACTTCTTTTAAATCCTGAAAATTCCTTTCTGTATTTTCCTTTTGCTAACTTAAAAGAAATTCTGCATGTGCCTTCATAGACCAATCTAAAATACCCGGTATTTAAAAAACTATTCAATCACAAAGATACAGACAAAGCCTAGACACAGTGAAAAGGAGGAAAAGAAATGCAAACGTAAAACATATTACTACTGTACAGTCAACAATGTCAACATGTTTTAAAATAACCTGTTTTGTTGCTTACAAACAGACTATTGCTAGAGGTGAGACATACCACCATGCACTTTGTTATATGGAGAGGGGAATATTCAGTAACTGGCCGATGATTCTGCTTAAAGATGATCATGCCCCTTATTCACCTGTAAGCAGACGATTCCCAGTAGCAGTGATAGGCACCTTAGAGTACACTGGCTTTCAAAATACTCAGGCAAGTGAATCCTTATCAAAGAAGCCAGGTGACCGAGTGACATTACAGCAGCTTGTCAGCAACTGCAGTCACTGTCCCATTCTGCTCTACTAAGGTGCCTCAGCCTTGATCTGGAGGTCTGGTAGAAGACTCAATTATTCACACATCTCACCACCAGCCAGCTTCAGCTCACCATCGCCCCTCGGTCAGTTAGTGCAAGTCGTAGCAGCGGCTTTTGCAGTACAGATCCATCTCATCCATGGGTTTGGCTGAAGCCAACAATTATGTTTCAGATAACATTCCCAGGGAGCCATTACTAGGACCCTGGATTACTCACAAGTCTGGCCTAACGTCTAATTAGGCCCCTGAAGCCAGAAAATCTGACTGGCTCAGAAGATTGCTTGCATTCCATTGCCAATCTGTCTTCACTTCTCTGAACTGCAGCAAGAACTTTGGCAGTCAGAAATGAACAATCTATTAATCAGAGAGTCAAGTTTGACAGGAACTAATGTCTTGGTAAATTGTACAGACCTTTCTTAAAAGCATCAATCTGTTATGCTCTTACAATTTTTAATGAAGTGAAGGATAGCTTACTTATTTATCTTTCCATAATTTCCTTTACTTTCAGCTCTACAAGTCATTGTATCAGCCTGCTGCATTATGCAGCTCATATTACTACTTATATATACGAAGCTCATGTCCAAGATATGACAACCAACCAACCTCATTGGAAACCTCTACAGAAATCAAAGAAACTATCAGCAACACAGTCATTCTGGATTATCAGAAAAATTAAGGAATACTCTCTCTGAGAGTATGCTGTGTTAACTAACTCTCATAAGCCTTTTCATATTTAAAATCAGAAAGTATACAAATGGCTCATCCTTTGGTGAAACAGCCAGCCGATGCACAGCAAGTAACCAGGTAGAACACCCATAGCTTGACTTTAGAGAGGTATCTTGATAAAAAGCTAACTGTTGTTAAGCAACTGCTATATATGTTAACATGAGATATGGAAAATGATAGGTCTGTGATTACCACTAGTTAACCTTCTCAGCATCAAAGCTGAGAACTGGAATGGTGCGTTGCCTTGATACATCACGTTTAGGTTGATCCAACATATAAATCCTAAATACAAGCTCTTTCACCTTAAAAGCAGAACAGTCCTCTCTACCTAACTTCTTTTGCAGAATGTGAAAAAAAGGCTTATTAAAATTCTTAATCTATTTTCTTCAGCATTTAAATTGAGCCAAAAAGCCCATGATAATATTTCTAAAACTTGTGAAGGCAATAGGATAGAACTAACGTATTCCCATGCCTGAACTCAGGTTTAACTACTTGAACTCAAATCACACACCTTCAAATCCCTAATGATTGAACTGATAGCATCAATTATCTAGAAGGCTGCATCCAATGAAACAAGGCTTTTTGACATTTTCGTGGTACATGATATGACATACATTAGGAAAACACAGTTTCTGCAAGAAATATCAATATGTACGCAAGGAATGTCCTGTGATGTGGAACATACTGTCTTCCATAATAGAGAATATTTTCCAGCACCATCTTTACTCAAAGCTCTGGTTTTTGCCCCACCTTCTCACCCCCCCTTTTTTTTTAAAGTATGGTTTAATCTTATTTCTGAAGTTAGTTAACAGGAGCATAAAAAAACCTCACAGCACTCTCCTTTAAAAAAATGTATCA